GATTTTTGACGGATGACCGAAATGGGCAAAACGGGGTGATTTTGGTCATCCGTCAAAATATCTGAAGATCCCTCTATAGGATTCTCCCCAAACCTTGCTCAGCTGATCCAGCACGGGCCGTAGGCCAGGCCTGGGCGAAGAAACCAGTACCTCATCGGGCTAGCCGCAGCTTCATCGGCGGCGGCGGCCGCTTGCCCCGTCGGCAGTCGAGCTTGGAGGCGCGCCGGCGGAAGGTGTGCCACTCGGCCGCGGCCGACACGCCGTCGGCGTTGCTCTTCATGTACACGTGCTGCTGCGCGCTCTTGCTGCGCCGCGGCGCGCTGAACGTGAAGCCGGCGCACCTACCACGCGCCGCCACCAAGGGAGCGTGAGGAGCGGAGGGCACCGAGGGACGCGCGCGCGGAGTGACGTGCACGCGACGCCGGCGCACTCCTTGTGCGCGAGGCAGCGGGCCTCCGCCTGCGCCTCTGTCATCGGCCCGCTGATGTCGGGCAGGTCGTTGCCCGCGGGCAGGAAGCCGTTCTTGTAGATGAACGGCGGCGGCGGCGGCGCGTTCTCGTCCAGGCTGCCGCACGGGTCGGGCGGCTGGTACTCCCGCGTCATCGAGCGCAGCGCCGGCGAGCCGCCGTCCTCGACGTCGCACGTGTAGTTGCGGAGCAGGTCCTTGAGCAGCTCCGACTGGCCGACGCCGGGGCCGACGCCGGTGAGCGGCCGCCACGGATCGAAGTCGTGCGCCACGACCGGGAAGTACTCGCGCGAGTTGTGCCGCACGTGCTCCTCCTGCATCGACAGCAGCTCGTCGACGGTGCACGAGTAGAACTCGCGGCCCGTCGCGTGACCGAGGCGCTGCAGGCACGCGTCCGACGCATTGATGACGCCCTGCTGCTGCGGATGCTCGTCGAAGCGCGCGTACGGCGCGGCGAGCGGCAATAGAAGCAGCAGCAGCGGCAATAAGAGTGGCCTCGCCGTCGCGGCAGGAGTGCGAGTGGAACTCGCCATCGCCCGCCGTGATGACGTGTCGGATGCATGCGTGGCACATCTCCGGCGAGCTCGCGGCGCGCGCGCGCGCGCCGGCCACACGCCAAGACAATGGCACTCTCTCGCGAGTACACCGGACACGCTCCCTCTCCATCAAAACGCGGTCCGCACGTTCAGGTCGCGCGCGAGGAAGCGCCGCGCCGCGCCGCCGCTCCGGCTCGCCTGGATGGAGAGGCCGACGCCGGCATTCCACAGCCCCGGCGTGCCGTGGCACGGCGTGGCGAACCAGCTCTGCGGCGGCACCCTTGGGCGCGGCGGGCAGAGCGACGCCCAGAGCGCCGTGCACAGCACGAGGTCCGCCTCCGCGCACCGGTGGCCGCGCGCCGGGCCGAAGCACGGCAGCCCGGGGTGGGTGCTCAGCTCGGCGAGCGCCGCCTGCGCCGCCGCGCGCGCGGCCTTCGCGTCGCCGCCGCTCCTCCGCCACTCTCGGTAGTCGACCAGCTGCCGGCTGCGGCGCGCGTGCGCGAGGCCGGTGCGGTTGCGCCGGATGTTGAACGGGCGGAAGACCGCGCCCGTCGAGAGCGACGGCACGGGCCGGCCGCCCCACCGCTGCCGGTCGACGAGGAAGAGGTCGAGGCCGGGCTCGACGTCGACCACCGCGTAGCCAAACTCGGTCGCGACCGCGGCGACCGCGCCCGCGGACGAGCCCATGAAGCAGTCGCCGTCCCAGCGCACCGCCGGGTCGTCCGGGAAGGCGATCCAATAGTCGAGCGGGTAGTTGGAGTTGTACTCGACGCTCAGCACCGCCGGCCGATAGCCGCCGCCGAGCAGCGCGCGGAGCACCCACAAGTCGGTCGTGTCCAGGTCGATGGAGACGTACGTGACGCTCTCGCTCACATGGTGGCTTCGCAGCAGCGCGACGATGTTGTCCGAGGTGATCCACGCCTTGTGGCATCCATTCTCCGCATTCTCCGCCGCGTCCTTGAGGCAACGACCGTCGAAGCGCACGCCCGTCCAAGCGCCCGTGCGCCGCAAGCATTCCGTGTTGGAGGCGAGCACGGCCGGGAATCCCAGCTCCACGTACGTGCCCGCGGTGATCTCGAGCGCACGAAAGATGCGGTGGAGGCGCAGGTCCTGCAGGCCCTGCGAGACGGAGCCATTCATGCGTGCGGCGGCGGCGCGTTCGCCATTCGTCATCCAGCACACCACACGCGGCGGGCGGTAGAGCTCTACGTCGCGGAAACCGTCGTCAGCACATATTTAGCACATATTTAGTGTGTTTTATCTCCAATTTAGCGCCACATTTAGATCGCTTTAGGTGCGGGCAGCTGCAGTACATTTAGTGTGGGTCCCGCATCTTTAGTGCGGGCACGCACCTTTAGCACGGCTTCCCGGCCACACCACAGCTAGCCAGGGCCGCGTGCTTTGCTCCTTGGCTGCCAAGAATGCACCACAGGAGATGCCTGGCCCCTGCCCTCACGACCCAAAGGCAGGCTCCCAGTGAGGCTAGATATGCAGCCCTCCAGAGCAAGATCTCCCAACTGAGCACAGGCACAGCACCGATTCCCGAGAGGAGGACCAGCACAGTTGAATGCGCCACCGCAAGCACCACCTCCGACCGCACAACCCATGCTGTGCCCGTGACCACCAGCTGTAATAGAGTAGAGGCGAGGGTCGGTCTTGGAATTTCAAAGCCAATGTTGAACCAAAGGATGAAGGATCCAGACCACGATGACAGAAACGGCCAAATGGCCATGATCCATGTAGTCACCGCAAGCAGCTTTACATACGCGTGTACTCGTACAAGCATGTTGGATCCAGCCCCAGCCATGCACCTCCTCCTAAGATAAGGTTGTTTGTCCTCCTAAGTGCAATGGCAACAGCTCAAAGAAGACCTCCTTGATTTTCTTATATAAATCTCCCTTCTGCATCTTTTGAATCGGTCCATCCTGCCGCGCTGCGGCTTGCTTGGCCCTGGCCTCGTCCCGTGTTGCCTTCTCCCTCTCTAGTGCGTGCACGTCCCTCGCCACAAGAGCCGGATAGTTATTGTCAAGCCAAGTCTGCTGATCTTTCGAAATGGTAAGCCCGGAGAAGCAGCCCGGAAAGCACCGGAGGTTGATATTCAGCTGAACAACCTTCGTTCGGTTAGGGACGGGACGGGGAACTTTTGCGAGTGGGCAGGGGACTGCAGGGGGGGGGAGGGAGGCCCAGCGAGGGGCTGCGGCTGGATCCTACTGCGCGGCTGGACTAAAGACGCACTAAACCTCGCTAAATCTGGATGTAAAGTCGCAGTGAACTCGCGCTAAATTTGCGCTGAATTCGCGCTAAATTTGCGCTAAAGTGCACTAAAGATGCAGTACATAAACACTTCACACCGCACTAAATTTAGACGCAGGCGCCCTCCGTCAAAGGCCGTTTTCGCCGGCCGCCACATCGCGAGCGTGCGGCTGCGTGTCGACGCTGTAAACCCGTCGCGCAGCCAACAGCTTCTGCAGCTCGCGCATCAGGAGCCGCCATGCTCGCGCTGCAGCGACCAAAGTTCATCCGCATGGGCTACTGGGACATTCGCGGGCTCGGCGCGCCGCTGCGCATGCTGCTCGCCTACTCCGGTGTGGAGCACGAGCTCGTCTTCCACGAGGAGGCCGAGGACAGCAGCTGGTTCGAGGTGAAGAAGCCGGAGATGAAGAAGAAGAACGCGCTGGCCAACCTGCCGTACCTCGAGGTCGACGACGGCAGCCTGGTCGTGTGCGAGAGCAACGTGTGCCTCATGTACCTGCAGGACAGCCTCGGCCTCGGGCCAAAGTCGGAGGCCGCCAAGCTGCAGAGCTACGCGCTGCTCTCCATGTACATGTGCACGCGCAACGACATGGTCAACCGCGCGTACTTTGAGGACGTGCTCTCGCCGCCGCCGTGCCCGACGCGCGAGGCCTTTGACGCGTCCATGAAGGACCTCCTCGCGTCCGGCCCCTTCTCCAAGTACGAGGCCAGCCTCGAGCTGTCGGGCACGCCCTTCTTCGCCGGCGAGACGCCGTGCGCGTGCGACTTTGCCATCTGGGAGATGCTCGACCAGTACACCAAGCTCGCCGCCGACCTCGCCGAGCCGCCGCCGCTCGCAAACCTCCCGCTCTGCGCGGCCTTCCACCGGCGGCTGCGGGAGCTGCCGCAGCTGGCGTCGTACTTTGCGTCGCCGGCGTACGCGCTGCCGTGCAACTCGCCCGCCCTCACGCATTGGAACTAGGGAGGGCAAATGTCGATGCTTGGCGATGGGTGCTCGTGCACAGCACATTGGCGGAGGTCTGTATCATAACACGCAAAGCAACAGGAAGCGACACGTCACCGCTGTCGCATGCTGATGGAGCCGCCGGAGAGCGCGCTGCCGACGCCGCCGGTGCGCTCTCTCCCGGGGATCGGCTTGTGCGGTCTAGCACATATGCTTTTCTCGACCCCGCGTGCGAAACTCATCGCGCGCATACGTCATCCCCACATGACAGGTGCCTCATTGGCCGGCGCTCTGCACGAAGCACACGGTCTACGTCCGCGTGCTTTGCTTCTGAGCTGCTCGTTTATCGCTCTCTCCCCGGTTCCTGACCGGTACGCGAGAACCCCCCCGATGCGCCGGCCCATTTGCGCAATTTGGTGACGTGCATACGTCATCCCCATCTGATCTCATCCTTTACGGCCGGGCTGCGTGCCTCTCCTGCCCATGGGTGCTCGCAGCAAAGCGCGCGCGATGCGAGTTGCGGCGCGATCGTGTTCTCCTGCGCGCGCTGCGCACGATGAGCCCAAGAACGGCGCGCCGGCGACAGTGGTGAGCCGCGCGCGCGCTCGACCCCCATGCCCTACTTGGCCCTGCCCCTCTGCTGGCACACGAGTTGCCCGTCAGATCTCGGCTTCCCGGCCGCCCCAGACGGCCATTCGAGTTCTGGGGCTCCTACAAGCACCAGCCCCATCGATCCGGCGCGAAATCTCGAGCGACTCTTCGGAAAAGTGAAATCCGACTTCTCGCCTGCCTGCGTGCGTGCTGGATGCGTGCACAGGCGCTGGGCGCTTCACGTTTGCGGCGCGCGCGTGGCGCGCGCGGCGCGCTCGACGCGCGTGGCTCTGGCGGAGTGCTGGAGACTGTCCCGGGACCGTGCTCATGGCGTGAGCGCCTTCCGGAGCTCGCGCGGGTCGCCGCCGTCCGGCACGCCCACGACGGGCCCAGGGCTGGTGGGCCGAAACCGAGTCCAGATAAGGCCGGACGGGCGATTCACTGCCCAGGGCGGTTGGTGCCACCTCTGTACGTGCTGTGGGCGTGCGGGAGACGTGCGGAGAGCCCTAAACAGAACTCGTGAAAAAACACGTGCGTTTGCGCGTTATGCTGTATAGGACACGTCGCACCTCGCAGGCGACGGGCCAGAGCGATGCCGTCTCCAGCTAACGGGCACTCGGCTGGCTGTTTGGCCGCTCCCGCGGCGGAGGATGGTCGATCGGTCGGGTGTGAGTGCCCTTTTCAGTGACCGCGCCGCCCACGAGGCTGGCGGCCACCCCGCGCTGCGCGGCGGAGAGGGATGCACTCTCCACTCACCACAAACCTTCCTTGCCTTGAAGGTCCTCACACACGTGCACAAACATCCATCTTTGCCAAAAATATTGCAGTCAGGAGAGGCGGCAGCAACAGCCGCCGGGCGCCACGAAGCAGCAGCGGGCGCTGCCTCCGGTCAGCTACGAGGGCGAGGGCGAGGGGGAGGCGGAGGAGCTGGAGCCGAAGCTGCAGGAGTGGACGGTCGGCCGGCTGGGCGAGGTCCTCGGCGGCGGCGTGGACGACTTCCTGGACGACTTCCTGGGCGAGCGTAGGTTCATGGGGATCCCGTAGACGAGGATACTGTAGGGGTTGCGTTCCACGTCACCTGCCACGTCACAAACATCATGTTTGCCAAAATGCTCCTCGGCGCGACGCCCCGACGACCGCCGGCCTCGCGTCCACCTTGCGCCTGCGCGGCGGCATGGAGCACGTCGAGAAGGGCGAGGCGCCGCTGCTCGACGCCACCGCGCCAAAGTCGGACGACCAGCCCAAGAACAACGAGTCCCCACCACCCTCCACTTCACCGCCGTGGCTCAGCCTGCGGCTCGTCGCGATCGTCGGCGGCACCGTCGTCGTGGCGGTGGGCGTGCCGCTCGGCGTCGTCCACCTCTCGGAGCTCGTGGCGCGCGCACTCGTGGCGTGAGGGCTTCCTGGCCTTTACGACGGTCGACCCGCCGCGCTACCTGAAGCTGCTCTACAGCAGCGTGAGCGGCATCGGCGTGGCCATGTGGTACGGCTCGTGGGTGCTGGCCAAGCGCAAGCTCTTCTTCGTGCGCACCGCCGCGTCGCGCAAGGGCGCGCTGGCCAAGGCCGTGGCGTACGGCCTCGGCCTGTTCTCGCTCTTCATGTACGTGCTCGACGTGTGGTCGGACGTGCTCGTGACGAGGCTGCTGTGGCGCACGGGCAACTACATCTGGGCGCTGGAGTCGACCTTGTCCTGCTGGTGCTGCCGTTTGTGGTCGTCTACTCGCGCGTGTGCGCATGGTGGGGCAAGCTCGACCGCTACAGACCTTAGCGTTCACCTGCACTATCCGCCGGTAGCGGTACCCAAACCGGATGCAGCTCCGCACGACCTTTTTTGTAGAGGGATACGCAATAAGCTATACAGGGCGGCAGTCGACTCTCCTACAGCTACAGTGCTGTCCGCGGCCGCTGCCGCGGGCCCGGGGCCCCTCCATCCCCCCCCCCCCCCCGCCCACCCACCCACTCACACGTACTCCCCGCGTTGCCCCCGTGCGACCGTCGAGGGGCGCGGCGCGGCGCTCGTCGCCCCTCACTGCGCGCCGTTGCTCGGCGAACCGAGCGAAAGCTGCGACGCGCTGGCTGCTGTGGAGCTGCTGCTCTCGCCGCTGGAGCGGGCGGAGACGGGGCTGCTCGCGCGGGCGGCGGGGCGGCCCGGCACCTGCGGGGGGATGTGGCGCAGCATGCCTCCGAGGGAGAGGCGGGCGGTGGACGAGGGAGCAGCGGGGAGAGAGCTTGGGAGAGGGGGGAGGGGCGAGGGGGGTGAGGAGAGCGGGAAGGGGAGGAGGGGAGGGCATAGGAGAGCGGGGAGGGGAGGGGAGGGGAGGGGGGAGGGGAGGGGGGAGGGGAGGGGGGAGGGGAGGGGGGGGGTGTAAGGCTGCCCGGCCCACCTCGAGGCGGAAGTCCTCGCCGCAGTCGAGGTTGGCGCGCCTGCGGTGCGAGAGACGGCGAGACGTGTCGAGACTTGGCGAGATTTGGCGAGATGAGGCGCCGTCGAGGGCTGGCGAGTGCCGGATGGCGGCGTGTGCGGCGACCAGCTGGCGCAGCAGCCGCTCGAGCGACGAGGAGGAGGCGGCGCCGCTCTCCTCGAGGCAGGCCGAGTTGAGCGCGTCGGCGACGAGGTCGCGGTGCTGGTCGCGCATCAGGTGCGCGACGGGCGCGTCGCGCTCGGGCCGCTTGTACGCGAGCAGGGAGACGACGTCACGCAGCTTGCCCGGGTAGACCGCCTCCTACCTCGAGAGAGGTGCGTGTCTGCGCCACTCGTCACTCCACCTCCACCCGTCCTCCTCGGCCACGCGGCGGGGTGGAGAGACTCGCTCCCGCGCGGGGTGGCAGTCTCGGGCAGTCTCCTCCGGTCTCGGGCAATCTCCTCCGGTCTCGGGCAATCTCCTCCAATCTCGGGCACTCTCGCATGCGATCGCTCCATCGAATCGCGGATCGGCGCGAGGTGAGACTGGCAGTACGACAGCGCGTCGAGGGTCTTGCCCTCCCGGACGAGCTCGATGAAGGCCTGGCACTGATCAGCCGAGATCAGCCGAGATCGCCCGAGATCAGCCGAGATCAGCCGAGATCAGCTGAGATCGCCCGAGATCGCCCGAGATCGCCCGAGATCAGCCGAGATCAGCCGAGATCGCCCGAGATCGCCCGAGATGAGGTTGCCCGAGATTGCCCGAGATTGCCCGAGATTGCAAGCCTGGCACTGGAGCAGGAAGAGCGCGTGAGGCTGCCTCCCGAGCAGGCCTGCGAAGAGGCGCCACCACGGCTGAAGTAGTCCGTACCGACTCCCTCACTCCCTCCTTCAGCACGCCTGGGAAGAGGCGCTCGCACAGCTCGCACGCGCGCGCCGCGTCGCCCCGCCGCGCCACCGCCGTCACCTGCCTCCGCGCCTCCATCGAGACGGCCGCCAGCTCGTCTGCGGCCGCTCCTCCCGCCAGCACGCGCGCGCGGCCGCCGCCGCCGCCGCCGCCACGCCCCTTTGGACAGGCGCCGCCGCCGCGCGCGCCTCGAGCCGGAAGACAGACGGAGAGGGGCGGACAATCGAGCGGCGGCGAGGGGGCGGGTCGCTTGACCCCGTTGGGCTCGCCGCGCCGCGCCGCGTCGCCTGCCTGCCCGCCCGCCCCGACTGCGGCCGCGTGCGCTCCCTCGCAGGTTGCGGAGCTGGTGCCGCCGCGCGGCGGTGGAGTGCAGCCGCGGCCTAGCGCGTACGGCGGCGAGAAGGAGGGGGGGGTGAGGGGTCGTGCAGGGCGAGAGAGGGCACACGGCCTCGACAGGACAGCCGAGAGACACGGCCGACCGCCCGAGAGACAGTGCCGAGTGCAGCCGAGCACCCGCCCTCTCTCCCTCTCGACCCGCCCGTCCTCGGCACCAGCTACGCCTCCAGCTTCTACGGCCACGCGCCCGTACCCGCGGCGGCGTCCACGTCCATGTCCGCGGCGCGCGAGTCGCGCTCGAGCGCCTCGAGCGTGTCGGCAAAGGCGTGGTGCAGCAGGTACGAGCGGACGAGCCCCGCCACCAGCCCCGCCGGCGCGTGGTGCAGCGCCGCTTGCTGCTCCGACTCGCGCCGCAGCGCCGCGACGTGGCCCCGCGCGTCAAACGCAAAGGGAGCCTCGCCGAAGTTGAGAGCGACGGCCTCGTTGGGCGAGTGCAGCCCGACCGTCGGGTAGAGCTGCGGCGGCACGTCCGAGAACGCGACGCCGAGGTGCTGCCCGTTTCGCGTGAAAAAGATGGACCGGGTCGCGTTGACCAGCCCGCAGCCAACCACGTCCCCAGCGCCCCACGCGGGCCCGTACACCTCCCCGCGCTCGGAGTCGGTGTACTTTCTCCCGTCCTCGGCGTGGTACCCGAACGAGTCTGGCTCCCATCCCGGCTGCCGATGAAGGCTGAACGACTCGCCCGCCAGGCCGATACAGAGCGCGCCGCGCTCGCCCGCGTCGAGGACCGTCGCCTCAAAGTAATAGAGCGCGCACCGCGCCGGGCACGGCCGGTCCGTGCGGATCGCCCCCACGTCGTAGCCGTGGTTGCCTTTGCCGATGTAGCGGACCGATCGCTTGTCCCGCGCAGCGATGATGTAGCGCGGGTGTGAGACTGTGTCAAGCTCGCTCGGCAGCGGCTGACGCGCGTCCTCGCGGCACATCCCGTGGGACCACGACCTGGACGAGCCGGACGGCTGATACGCCAAGGCGCTGGGCTGGCGGCGCCCGTCCATCCCGCAATATCCAACCGCGAGAGAGTGCTGAAAAAGAATTAATTTTTGGGGTCTACCGACATGACAGTTGGCGACGGCGTCTATCAGCCTCCGTCTATCACACTGGCGACGGCGTCTATCAGCATCAGTCTCTCCGGCAGGATGGCAAAAAAGAAAAAAGTGCCACGCGATGTCCCGACGCGCCGCTCGCCGCCTCGCCGCCGCAGCCTCCGCCCCCTCGCCGAGCACGCCGCCGCCCGCCCGCCTCCTCGACCTCCCCACGGACCTCCTCGCCCGCGTCGTGTCTCGCTGCGACTTCCCCGTTGACAACGCTCGCGTCGCGGCCGTCTCGCATCTCTTCCACGCCTCGCTTGCGAAGGAGGGCATCCGCTTGTGGGCGCAAGAGCGCGGCTTCGAGCTGCCGGCGCAGCCAGAGGGCGAGACCTGCGCCGTGCGGTGGCTGTGCTATTCGGCGCTGCTGCGCGAGGCCAACCCGCCGGCGAGGGCGGCGGCAGGCGAATCGCACAGCGTCTTCATCGACGGCGTGGGGCGGCTCTCGTCGTGCGGCAGTGGGGCAGTCTATCCAGGACTGCTCGGGCACGGTGAGGGCGTGACGCGGGTGAACACGCCGACCCGCCTCCCGTTGCTGGGTGAGCGCGCTGTGAGCGTCTCGGCTGGAAGCGCGCACAGCCTCTCCCTCACCGCCGGCGGCGCCGCCTGGAGCTGGGGTATTGGAGGCGGCTACTTGGGCCACGGCGACGAGCAGAACCAGTGGCAGCCGAAGGAAGTCGAGGCCTTTGCTGGGCGGCGCGTCGTCGCTGTCTCGGCGGGAAGCGACCACAGCCTCGCCCTCACCACCGACGGTCGTGTCTGGAGCTGGGGCTATGGACGCGACGGCCGGTTGGGCCACGGCGACGAGCAGCGGCAGCTGCTGCCCAAGAGAGTCGAGGCTTTTGCGGGGCAGCGCGTCATCGTAGTCACGGCTGGAGCGTACCACAGCCTCGCCCTCACCGCCGACGGCAGCGTCTGGAGCTGGGGCGAGGGAGCCTCTGGCAAGCTGGGCCACGGCGACCAGCAGCGCCAGCTGCTGCCCAAGAAGGTCGAGGCCTTTGCTGGGCAGCGAGTCGTCGCTGTGTCGGCGGGAACCTATCACAGCCTCGCCATCACCGCCGACAGCGCTGTCTGGAGCTGGGGTGAGGGAAACTCAGGCCAGCTGGGCCACGGCGACCAACAGCGCCAGCTGTTGCCAAAGAAGATCGAGGCCTTTGCTGGCCAGCGAGTCGTCACCGTGTCGGCTGGAGTCTACCACAGCCTCGCCATCGCCGCCGACGGCGCCGTCTGGAGCTGGGGTGAGGGATCCTATGGCCGGTTGGGCCACGGCAACGAGCAGCGCCAGCTGCCACCAAAGAAGATCGAGGCCTTCATTGGGCAGCACGTCGTCGCTGTGTCGGCTGGAGCCTATCACAGCCTCGCCATCACCGCCGACGGCGCTGTCTTTACCTGGGGCGAGGGCGAGGACGGCTGCCTAGGCCACGGAGAGGACCTGTCGAACCAGCTGCTTCCCAAGAAGGTCGAGGCGTGGGCGGAGGAGCTCCGGAGGGAATGAGCAGGGCACTCCTCGGGTCGGTCCACCCGCGACTCCACGATTGCCGAGCGTCATTATCTGGAGGATAGCGCTTGCTTAGTTGTTCCTTTGTTGTAACCTCTAATTAATTGTATGGCTGTGTATGTCTATGTTTGTAGTTCAACCCGCTGGCTCGTTCGTGCAAACAAGCTTCGCATTTTAGAAATAGCGTTGTCCTGACAGCAGTCTCCTGTGACACCTGAGTGCTGAGAGACGTCTCCCCGTCGACGCGTCGTGGCTCGTGCCGTCGTCCAAGACTCGCAAAAGTGCGTGGGGCTCTCACCCCTCTGTCAGCACGTAGTTGTCCGGCTACGGCGCGGTCTCGTCCCCCGGCGCTTCCCTCCTCGCCGCCGCTGCCGCCGTCCTCGGCGCGTACGGCTTTATCAGGAAGAACCAAGAAGGTGAGCATCGGCCCGAGCGCAAAGGCGACCAGGAACTGGCCAGAGTAGTTGCGCGCGGGCGTCTGCGCGTCGTGGTAGGCGAGCAGCGTCGAGAGGTCGCGGCAGAGGGTGATCCAGCTCCAGCCGGCGAAGAAGGCCATCGCGCGCGTCAGAAAGTACATCTCGACCTGAGGCGCGGTCAGGTCAGGCTCACTTCTCCACACACACACGAGGGGGTGGGGCAGGAGACCCACACGGCATTAACAGTGCAGGCCCGGGAGTATCTCGACCGGCCCGCGACTTGCCTTCTTCTCCTCTATTGATTACTATTCACCGATGATTGACTACTGATTGAGTAAGACCCGGGAGAAGAGAGTGGCCGGGTCGTTGCTGAAAAAGAAGCCGCTCTCTGAGCACACTGGCACGACAAGGGCGCGGACTGGCGCGGACTGGCTCAAAAAGAATATAAACGCGCGCCTTCCCCGCCGCCTCCTCCCTCACTTCCCCTCTACCTCCTCCTCCCTCGCCGCCTCGTGAGGAGGCGCCGCTTGAGCAGCGTTGGCCCATTGGGTTTGCGCACGCCCCGGCCGTCGGGCAGCAGGAAGTGAGAGGGGCCGTCCACCTCGACCGCGACGCGTGAAGAGGGCAGCCAGCGCCAGGTCGAGCGAGTAGCCGGTGCGCGGCTCGAGATGCTCCTCCTCGAAGCCGTGCGGGACGGCGGCGAGGGCAATCGCGACGGAGCGCTGCAAGCGCGAGATCGTAACTAGAGTACCTTGCATGGCGTCGCAGCAGAGCTTACGCTGGGACACGGATAGGAGGTGCTGCTGCGCGTCTGCTCCTCGCTCAAGGGAGAGCCAGAGCTGCCACTGGTGCAGCTGAGAGCGGTCCTCCTCGCTCCACCTCGACGGATCCCGCGCGAGCGAGTCGCTAATCACGCGCGAGCAGTCGGCAAGCAGCGCCTGGTGATAATAGTCGGCCGTCGCATACGCCCACATCGTGTTGGCCAGCTCCTGCGGCTTGAAGCCAGCCAGCCCGCCGCGCACCGCCGCCTCCGCCGGCTGATTGTGCGCGACGTCACGTGCGTGTCGCCGTACGCGCTGCTGCTATTCGCGGGCGGCTCGCTCATCGTCAACGCCGAGGCGGGCACGGTCGAGGTGGACGGCCACATCACCATCGCCGCCTCTGGCCGCGTCGGCGCGCTCCTGAAGCAACTGCGCGCCGAGTTGCTGTCGCTGCTCGCCAAGAAGCTAGAAGAGCCGTCGCTCTCGCTGGTGGGCAGCCCGATCTACGAGGCGATCGTGCGGCTGATCACGAGTGATGGTTTGTAAGTAAAGAAAGAAAACAGGCGACCCAATGGGCTGTAGTGCGGCGTCTCACGCTTGAGCACTTGGAGTGGAGCAGTTGGAGCACTTGGAGCGCGGTGTAGGCGCCCCAAAAGCCCGCGACTTTCTTTAATTCCCGGCTCTCCTTCTGCGGTTGAGTATATCGGCCTCGAAAGGCCATCTCCGCCCGTATCCCGCCTGCACCGCCTCACGGCGCGCTCGCTGCACTCACGGGCGAGCAGCCGCTCGCATCGCCCACAACTCGTCGCGAACCGCGGCCGAGACTCGCCAGCGGCCCCCTCTTTTCGTCACGTCGCGCTCGCGTTGCCGTCTAAGCAAGACCCCACTCCCTCCCTTGCAGGCGCGTCCCCGGCCCGCTGCATGATATGACCGGCCGTATCATATTGTAGCCGCCGTCTCTGCCCGACCTGCCCCACGACACCCGCTCTCGCGAAGTCCCTTGAAACCACTGTGCTCCTCGCCCGCACACAGTCGCCGGTGACAGCCTCGTCACGCCGCGCCGGTGTGTGACGCAGGTGCGGCACGCGATATTCTTCCCGCACGCAGCCCGATCGTGCCGCGTGCGCCCTCTCATCGTGGCACAGCACGAACCTCCCCCTTCACACACACGCCGATGTCCGGAGCCTGCACGGGCGATTCTCGGCCCTCGTCGTCCTCTCGCCCCCTCGCCTCTCGCCGTCCCCCACTCCTCCGCACCCGCAGCGGCGCCATGCACCGCACGCTGCGCTGCCTCGCAGGATCAAGTCGACGACATGCCAGCCGCCCTCGACACGCCAGCGCGGCAGCCTCGCGCCTCGGTCAGCGACGACCTGTGTAGCGCCACGGTCCGCTACGTGCGCCTCGACGCCATCGAGGCGCGCAACCCGTTCGTCACGGACGAGGGCACCGACGCGTACCACACCCCGCCGGGACCTGTGCCCGCCCGGCTACTTGCACTCCTCGAGGACATCGAGAACAACCAAGAGGTAGACTACGAGATCGGCGACCGCACCTTTGGCCTGGCGATGTACGTTCTCACTCGCTACTGCCGCTGCGGCGACCCTCTGACGGATGAGAAAAAACGATCGAACGCCGTGCTCGGCAGCTTCAGCCTCGCCTGCAAGTTTAACGAGACGGCGTCGCTCACGCTCAAGGAGCTTGCGGACATCTCGCACCGCGTCGGATTCAGTACGAGTGCGACTGCGAGTTCGATTGCGGCGATGGAGTGGGAGATAGTGGCTGCGATCCGCTGGGAAATCTGGGAGCTGCTCCGCCCCGACGAGGCGAGGGGGCGTTCGGAGGAGGGGCTCCGTGACCCGTGGGACCTAGGCGGTCAGATGCCCTACTCTAGCCAGCGCCGCTCCCGCGCCGCTCGCGACGACGAGCACAACGCCGAGCGCGACCTGGCCGACGAGGCCGAGACCAAGCGCCGAAAGGCTGTAGCAGAAGTGGAGCGGGATGTGTGGCGTGCCATCCGGCCGGATGCCACCCAGGTCCGCTCCCCGGAGACGGACTGAGCCCAGCGGGCCGCGGCTGGCGTCCTGGCGAGGGGAGAGCGGCGGCTTGTTGTGGCGCATAAGTGGTGCGTGGGCGGACGTCGCGTGGAATCAATGAGCGTGCGTGCCGAGTGGGCCGGTATCTGGCTGTGAAACCGCTCTCCGAGAGTGATCATATCTCCTTGTGGTGGAACTGGAACCGAACCGTTCACGATTCCTCACGAAGTCCGGTCCTCGAGAGTCGGTCAGAGTCAGACACTCGGACTGACCAGACTCCAGAGCGTGGACCGCAGCGGGGAAGGTGTGCGTCAGGGAAGTAGAGGGACCGACGCAAGTTAGGGCTGGGAGAACCCTAGTGTAGAGTCCCCACCTTGCGGGGATTTTGCAAGGCCAAGGGCGAGGGGTAGGGGGGTTGCATCCATCTCGGATGTTGTTGCATGTCGGCGCGGAGAAGAGGGGAGGCATGGGGATAGAGGGGCTCCGGTCTCTCTCGCATAGCCTACGGATATGCACTCACAGCGGATAAATAAATATAGCAGTCATCTCCATGAGAAATGGGCGACGCACGAACACAACACAGAGGTACAGCGCGCACCCCGCCCCGCTCGCAGGGCGTGCATCACACGGACGGGGGCTGTGTAATTCCTTGGGGTTTCTGGGGACTCTTGAGGTGTGCTAGTCGCTATTATCCGACGGTTCCGGCACGTCTGACGGGCAGTTCGGGCTCGAGGGAGAGCCGCAGTCGCGGTCGCGGCCAGCGCGCGGGGCCTGGCTAGGGCTGCCGGGCGTGATCTCGTCCAACGTGTAGTGCTTGAGCAGCCGCGGGCGGTAGCAGCGGCACGGGGGCAGGCTCCTTGCAGGAATTCTTTTCCTGTGCCATGTGGATCAAGTCTTTTCCTGTGCCATTTGTGATGCCAGTCCATGCCAGTCTGCCTATGGCGATCGGCTGGCGACCCGTTAGGGTCGACAGTTGAGCTAGGGAGTGTGGCGATGGCCGCCCAAATGCGAACGCAGGAGATAAAATGCTTTGCGGCGACGTTCCGTGGGAAGGATCAAGTCGCCGCTTGGTTTCATTACAAGCTCCTTGTCACGTGAAGTTCTACGTGCGTCCACGGGGCCAAGGCGCAGCCAGCTGTCGGAGAGAGACAGGGGTCTCTCTCGTTGCGCGTTTGGTCATGGCCCTCGGGCGGAGTGGCAGCGGGGACGGAAGCAGCGGGCATCACTGAGGTGCTCAAGTCGGAGCGGGCCGGGCGACACTTGCCGCTCAAGGAAGACCGGATCATTGCCTCGGCCGAGCTGGTGGCGGAGCAAGGGATCACTGAGGACGGCGTGCGGTCGCACCTCGGCGACGCGGGGCTCTTCGAGGCATACGCGGAAACATTCGCCGCGGGCATCGGCAAGGAGCAGCTGCCGCCCGTTCAGAAGGCTATATCTGAATGGTGAGATTTTTCTTTTTGCCCGAACACATTCTAGAGGAATCAAGATTTTGTAACGCGATGTGTGCGCCCGAAATGGAGGGAACATTGGTCATTGCGAGTACGTTATGGCTTTTTAGCCCTCTATCAATGAAAGCTCGCATTTCACACATGAACACTCTGATAAGCGGGTCGACTGGCGCGGCGGCCGGTGTATGTCGGGAGTAGAAGTAAAGAGGAGCCCCGCGCATGCACGACCCCGCAAGGAGAAACACAAGCGTTCCTACCATCAGGAGACTCTGTGGACGCGAGCCATCAGGGCTTTGGACGACTGCACCACCCAGCGTATATTGGGTAACAATGTCGGTCCCGCACTCGCGCCCCGGGGGAGGGGAGGCAGGTAGATAGGCGAGGGGGGAGGGCGACGCGTCGCCACTAGAGACGAGGCACTAGACGTTGGAGCCGAACGAGGACCCTTCGCCTGGCGAATCGCCGGAGGCTTCCACCGACGACTCGCCCGACAAGCCGCCGCCGACCCCACCGCAAGTCTGGTCGGGGTCACTATTAGAGCTCTCCGTCACGGAGCCTTCGCTCCGGGAGTCCCGGGCTGCGAAGTACCAAAGAGGCAGCGCGATCGCGATCATCACCGGCAGCACCAGCGGCGAAAGCGACACGAAGACGGAGAGGCAAGGGAAGAGGTTCCAGGCAAGAGCAGCCACCGCAAAAGCCGAGCTGCCAAAGCCAAGCAGCCCCAGGGCGAAGCGCCGCCGCATGGAGGGGCTCCACCCCCGCCACCCCCGCCACCCCCCTCCCACCCCCCCCCGGTCGGGCGGACGGACGGACGGACGTCGGATTCCGACGCTCCAGTCTACGCCCTTACTCCAGAGGTCCCGTGCAACGGAAGCCCAGTACGGCAAACTCACGGCGATCAACACCGTGAGCGATGCTCCGAATGGCACTTCGTTTGCGACATAGTCGAGCCATGCGGCCGCCCCAACGTACAAAATCAGCCGTGTCAACACCGGCAACGACTCACGTACGTGGCGGCAGAGGTGCAGCCGCGTGTAGGCCCTCGGCCCGACGAGAACGCTGTTGGGCGAGGCTCGCTGCTTCACGGTGGCTATGACGATGCCAACGTGCAAGAGCGAGACCGGGGCGACGATGACGAGCCAATCGATGCGTGCCGCGCGCGACCACACTTTCACCGCCACAAGTGTGAGAGAGACGCCGAGGCAGAGATACCAGGCCGCCAGGGAGAGGTATCGCAGCCGGCGTGACCCAGGCGGCGCTCCGTCGTCGACATCTCCAGGCGGGCTTGAAGGAAGATCTCTTGCCGGAAGTTGTTTCGCCAACCAGGCCGAGGCGTACGCGAAACCGTGCGCCAGCAGCACCGAAAGCCAGTAGGTCTCGGGCTCGCAAGGCGGGTCCAACGGGCGAGATTTTAGCACCTTTGGCGGCGAGGTTGGCGGCGACGGCGCCAGACCGATGAGGGGAGAGGGGGGAGGCGAGGACGGCGGCGAGGGCGGGGGCGGCGAGGTCGGAGGCGGCGAGGGCGGTGGGGATGGCGGAGGCGAGGGCGGAGGCGGCGAGGGCGGTGGGGAGGGCGGTGGGGAGGGCGGTGGGGAGGGAGCCACGAGCTGGTCGTCGTCGTCGTCGTCGGCGCTTGCTGGCGGCGGGTAGGGCGGCGGTGGGCTGGGGGGTGGCAATGGAGGCGACGAGGGCGGCGGCGGGCTGGGCGGCGGCGGAGAGGGCGGCGGCGCGTTGTGGTGTGGCGGCGGCGAGGGCGGAGGCGGCGAGGGCGGCGGTAGGCTTGGGGGCGGCGGGCTCGGGGGCGGCGGCGAGGGCGGCGGCGGCGACGGCGGTGGAGGTGAGGGCGGCGGCGAGGGCGGCGGTGGCGAGGGCGGCGGCGGAGAAGGTGGAGGCGGCGAGGGCGGCGGCGGCGAGGGCGGCGGCGGGCTCGGGGGCGGCGGCGACGGAGGCGGCGGGCTGGGCGGAGGCGGCGAGGGCGGTGGCGACGGAGGCGGCGGCGAGGGCGGGGGAGGCGAGGGCGGTGGTGGAGACGGAGGCGGGCTCGGAGGCGGCGGGCTCAGTGGTGGGGGTGAGGGCGGTGGTGGGCTTGGGGGAGGCGGCGACGGCGGCGGAGATGCCCAGGCGGAGGGAGGCGGCGGCGAGGGCGAGGCGGACGGTGGCGGGGGCGACGGTGAGGTGAAGGGAGGCGGCGGCGACGGCGAGGCGGAGGGAGGCGGCGGCGGGGGCGACGCGGACGATGGCGGCGGAGATGCCCAGGCGGAGGGAGGCGGCGGCGACGGTGAGGTGGAGGGAGGCGGCGGCGACGGCGAGGCGGAGGGAGGCGGTGGTGACGGTGAGGCGGAGGGAGGCGGTGGTGACGGTGAGGCGGAAGGAGGCGGTGGCGAGGGCGAGGTGGAGGGAGGCGGCGGCGAGGGCGATGCCGAGGGTGGTGGCGGAGATGGCAAGGCGGAGGGAGGCGGCGGCGAGGGCGAGGCGGAAGGAGGCGGCGGCGAGGGCGACGCGGACGGCGGCGGAGGAGATGGCGAGGCGGAGGGAGGCGGTGGTGACGGTGAGGTCGAGGTGGGCGGCGGCGGCGGCGAGGGCGAGGCGGACGGTGGCGGGGGCGACGGTGAGGTCGAGGGAGGCGGCGGCGACGGCGAGGCGGAGGGAGGCGGCGGCGGGGGCGACGCGGACGATGGCGGCGGCGAGGGCGAGGCGGAGGGAGGCGGCGGCGGGGGCGACGCGGACGATGGCGGCGGAGATGGCGAGGCGGACGGTGGCGGCGGCGACGGTGAGGTGAAGGGAGGCGGCGGCGAGGGCGAGGCGGAGGGAGGCGGCGGCGGGGGCGACGCGGACGATGGCGGCGGAGATGGCGAGGCGGAGGGAGGCGGCGGCGAGGGCGAGGCGGACGACGGCGGCGGCGACGGCGAGGCGGATGGAGGCGGCGGCGACGGTGAGGTGAAGGGAGGCGGTGGTGACGGTGAGGTCGAGGGAGGCGGCGGCGAGGGCGAGGCGGAGGGAGGCGGCGGCGGGGGCGACGCGGACGGTGGCGGGGGCGACGGTGAGATGAAGGGAGGCGGTGGCGAGGGCGAGGCGGACGGAGGCGGCGGCGAGGGCGAGGCGGACGGAGGCGGCGGCGACGGCGATGCTGAGGGCGGCGGGGGCGACGGCGATGCTGAGGGCGGCGGGGGCGACGGCGATGCCGAGGGAGGCGGCGGCGACGGCGAGGCGGACGGCGGCGGCGGCGATGGCGAGGCGGACGGCGGCGGCGGCGAGGGCGAGGCGGACGGTGGCGGGGGCGACGGTGAGGTGAAGGGAGGCGGCGGCGACGGCGAGGCAGATGGAGGCGGTGGTGACAGTGAGGCGGAGGGAGGCGGTGGTGACGGTGAGGCGGAAGGAGGCGGTGGCGAGGGCGAGGTGGAGGGAGGCGGCGGCGAGGGCGATGCCGAGGGTGGTGGCGGAGATGGCAAGGCGGAGGGAGGCGGCGGCGAGGGCGAGGCGGAAGGAGGCGGCGGCGAGGGCGACGCGGACGGCGGCGGAGGAGATGGCGAGGCGGAGGGAGGCGGTGGTGACGGTGAGGTCGAGGTGGGCGGCGGCGGCGGCGAGGGCGAGGTGGACGGTGGCTGGGGCGACGGTGAGGTCGAGGGAGGCGGGGGCGAGGGCGGCGCTGATGGCGGCGATGGAGATGCAGGCGGCGAGGGTGGCGAGGGCGGCGAGGGCGGCGCTGACGGCGGCGATGGAGATGCGGGCGGCGAGGGCGGCGAGGGCGGCGAGGGTGGCGCTGACGGCGGCGATGGAGATGCAGGCGGCGAGGGTGGCGAGGGCGGCGAGGGTGGCGCTGACGGCGGCGATGGAGATGCAGGCGGCGAGGGCGGCGAGGGCGGCGAGGGTGGCGCTGATGGCGGCGATGGAGATGCGGGCGGCGAGTTCTGCGAGGGCGGCGAGGGTGGCGCTGACGGCGGTGATGGCGATGCAGGCGGCGAGGATGGGGCTGACGGCGGCGATGGAGATGCTGACGGCGAGGGTGGCGCTGATGGCGGCGAGGGTGACACAGGGGGAGATGCAGGGGGCGAGGGCGGCGCTGATGGCGGCGAGGGTGACGCAGGGGGAGACGGCGATGCCGGCGGCGAGGGTGGCGCTGACGGTGGCGATGGAGATGCGGGCGGCGAGGGTGGCGCTGATGGCGCTGATGGCGGCGATGGAGATGCTGGCGGCGACGGCGGCGAGGGTGGCGCTGACGGTGGCGCGGATGGCGGCGAGGGTGACGCAGGGGGAGACGGCGATGCCGGCGGCATGGATGGAGGTGAAGGCGGCGGCGGCGAGGGCGGCGGCGGCGAGGGCGGCGGCGGGCTCGGGGGCGGCGGGCTCGGGGGCGGCGGCGGGCTGGGTGGCGGCGGAGAGGGTGGCGGCGCGTTGTGGTGTGGCGGC